TCCGGACTGTTGATATTTTTATTTTTATAATGCACGATGGGCTCACGTGGACATCCATGCGCGTGGCTCTTGTATTCGCATGCCTCATTATCCCCCCTCCCACGTTCAGCGATGGCTTTGGAACCCTGTGATTTAGACATTTCATTGGAATATTTTCAGTGATTATGGCACTCCATTAATGAGACAATTTTTTAGCATAAAAATTAATTTTATTAATTATCAATACATTGATCAATTAATTTGTTGAATATAGAGTTTTAATTCTTCTGTTTTATTCGAGAAGGTAATTTCGTCGATGATGATGTTATCGTTTTCTCAAGGGAGATCGATTAGCTTCGGAGATAATTTTGATATTTCGAATACAGCAGGTTCCATTAATGAAACATTTTTCAAGCATAAAAATTAATTTTATTAATTATCAATAGATAGATTAATTAATTTGTCGAAGAGAGACTTAATTGTTCCGTTTTGTTCAAGATGTTTTCATCGAAGACGATGTTATCATTGTCTCAAGGGAGATCGATCAGCTTCGGAGATAATTTTGATATTTCGAATACAGCAGGTTCCATTAATGAAACATTTTTCAAGCATAAAAATTAATTTTATTAATTATCAATAGATAGATTAATTAATTTGTCGAAGAGAGACTTAATTGTTCCGTTTTGTTCAAGATGTTTTCATCGAAGACGATGTTATCATTGTCTCAAGGGAGATCGATCAGCTTCGGAGATAATTTTGATATTTCGAATACAGCAGGTTCCATTAATGAAACATTTTTCAAGCATAAAAATTAATTTTATTAATTATCAATAGACAGATTAATTAATTTGTCGGAGAAAGACTTAATTCTTCCGTTTTGTTCAAGATGTTTTCATCGAAGACGATGTTATCATTGTCTCAAGGGAGATCGGTCAGCTTCGAAGATGATTTTGTTATTTCTAATACTGCAGGTCCCATCAATGAGACATTGTTAAAAAATAAAAATTAATTTTATTAATTATCCATAGATTAATCAATTAATTTGTTGAACAGAGACTTTTAATTCTTCCGTTTTGTTCGAGAAGATATTGTCATCGAAGATGTTGTTATCGTTGTCTCGAGGGAGATCGGTCAGCTTCGAAGATGATTTTGTTATTTCTAATACTGGAGGTCCCATTAATGAAACATTGTTCAAGCGTAAAAATTAATTATATTAATTATCAATAGATAGATTAATTAATTTGTCGAAGAAAGACTTAATTCTTCCGTTTTGTTCAAGATGTTTTCATCGAAGACGATGTTATCATTGTCTCAAGGGAGATCGGTCAGCTTCGGAGATGATTTTGTTATTTCTAATACTGCAGGTCCCATCAATGAGACATTGTTAAAAAATAAAAATTAATTTTATTAATTATCAATAGATTAATCAATTAATTTGTTGAACAGAGACTTTTAATTCTTCCGTTTTGTTCGAGAAGATATTATCATCGAAGATGTTATCGTTGTCTCGAGGGAAATCGGTTAGCCTCGGAGACAATTTTGTTATCTCTAATACTGCAGGTCCCAGGACGTTATTCAGGTAATCCCTGAATTGTTCGCATTTCTTTTTCGATGTGAAATCGTTCGAACTCCCCCATATAATGTGCCCGGCTGCCCCGTTGCTCGCCATAGCATTGAAACTGTCATGAACATCGGCCTGAGGAGATAATTAAATAGCGAGTAATTGCAGTGCTTGCACTTCCGTAAAATTAGTAGTGAAAAGTGAGAGTTATGAGAAATTTGCATTCACCTCGGAGAGTAAATTATTCCCCTGATCGTGGTATTTGTACCAGAAGTACGGGAGAATGACAGAAGACAGGGAAGACCTTTGGATGATCCTCTGTGACTCCTGAAGTCTTCCGGCTATCAATCCGATCTTTTCATTGCTGGATAGCGTCATTTTGTAGTATACGGAGGGGAGAAGGACATCCTCAAGCTTCCAGAGCCACTGCATACTTGAAAAAAACGATCAATCTGAGGAAAAATAGCGCTGAGAGAGCGAGCGAAGCGAGTGGAGGGGCCAAGCCCCCCTGGGGTTGACGAGCGAAGCGCGCAGGGGGCCAAGCCCCCCCCCACGCAATAATAGGAGCGAAAACCGAATGAATAAACATCCTACCGATCATTATCCTTCTTAATTTTCTCGTCACACCTCCAGTTCATCTGTTGAGGGGTCAAATTGAAGCAGTAGGGATAGGCATAGTACCCCCATGAGGCCCGCGGCCTCATGGATTTCGCCAGTTTTATCGTCTCCTCCATGTAGATCCTCCCGGCCTCCTCAAACCTCCTGATCGCCTCTCGCTCAATACTCTTCTCACTCAAGAAGATGTGCCTTCTTCGCTCAATAGTTATGGACAAGTCCCGGTAAGGCGCTAGGGACGCCCAGTTCTGCCTGAATATCGGCCGCCAGCTCTCGAAGTCAATAACTCCGACTCCGCTGAAATCCTTGGATATCTGCTCATTCACGTGGACTTTGAAGAGCTCCAAGTGCTTTTGGAGGTCACCCTCTTGGGGTACTCCACCATTTCTCAGGTACATTGATCCTGAGATGATGGAAAATGAAACGAAAGATTAAGGAAAAATGATAATCATTTTTTCTTCCAATGATAACTACTTTGAATTTTCTTTTCTCAATGAAAAACAAGTGGGAAATTGCTCTTGTATTGTATATAGTAATTTTTGCTAAGTCAAGACTTTCCGCACATGCGATTTTTCAACATGCCTGCAAAGGAAAGTCCGTATTTTGCTCTTTGACGACCAGGAGGAAAGTATGAACATTCCGTGCAGGGGTGTGAAAAAATCTATTTGAGATAAAAATCATGGGAAAATGGTGATTTTACCGTTTGGACTCTTGAGAATGGCCGGAAATTGGCCGGGATCATACAAAATAGCAATGTTCTCCCCCCTGAAATCATCATTTCTATTCTGAATGATTCCGTAATCCCTCTGGATCTCTTCGAAATTCAATCCGTACTTGTGGCACATAAATGTCGGAACGTTCCAGTAAACCCTGTAATCCCCCGGGACTTCTGTCATAGAAGATTGTACAGTGCTGCCACCATTTCCAAGCAAAACATCACTAATACTGAAACAATAGTTGGTCTTTTTAATTCTGTGATCTAGATGATAACGACGAGGTGACGAATTTACCTGAGGAAGGCCGACTCTATCCGGGTGAGGGTCGACAGGAACAGTAGAATTTTGTACATAGCAAGCACTAAAAGAAATTATATTAACCACTGTGTTGACACATGTTGGAGTTGATAATTTTCGTGCTTTTTTTAGATAACTTTAGGTAGCAGACTTTTGATATAAATGCGATAATTATATTAGGCCTCTGAGACTGAATCCTCAAGGAGTCGCGAAAATTCTAGAACATTCCATCATTGACCAGGAAATTCTAGAAATTTCGATAAAGATCTGGAAATTTCTTGAACTCTGCACGCTGCACCTCCTTAGGTTTTCTTTTTCAAAAAACCAAAAAACGCGTATTCGTTAATTTCAAGTGTAGATTTTGCACGCGAACTTTCACGACTCCAACTTCAATAGTTTCCCAAAGCATATGAAAAGCACCCTTTTCATAAAAATTCGAAATATCACTATTCTAATTTTTTTTTAATCTCCAAAATTTTTCGATTTTTCAAAATAATTCGCAGACGTGGTAGACAATTTATAAAATTTTCTTTTATCTTCTCACAATTCAAGAATTTTCAAGAATACAGCCGAATTTTTTCCCAAATCTTCATAAACCCCCAAAATTTTCTAGATTTTTCGAAAGAAAAAGTAAAAATTGAAATTTTTATTGACATCACTTACCTCAAGTAAGCGTTAGGTGTTGGAATAATTTCACTTCACCGTGGTCTCATTGTCAACAATGTACCAACTGAAATCCCCTCGCAGAAACCCAAGTATATATTCCCTCGGTATTTTATTATGTATTATTTTCCCACTCTAGGCAGCCCTGTCCTCGTGCCCGTCGGTCTTACCCAATAGAGGATACCCAGGCAGCTCCCAGCCGGCTGCTTTTGTTATCACATCGCAACTCCTCCCCCCTGTCCTGCTTTTGGACAATTGTGTTTCCACGAGACAATGAATTTAGTTCTGTTTTCGTTGCTCTCGGATTTTAATTACAAAAGGGCAATGTTACTTGTCCATCGTTGTGCGTAGGACGGAGTGAGCGATAGGGGATCATTAACGACTGCGAATGGAACTCAAGGAAAGATTCACCATCATTTCGTACATTGCTATATAACGCTTGAAGTCAAATCTCTGGGTCAAATGGTATGGATTAAGAGCATTTGACCCACAAAGAAAACTGTTAAAATGTGGGTAACACTTTGGATCATGAGTTCTCAGTGAAACAAGGGTGGAAAAATATGAATGATTATTTAAAAAATATGTTCACTCAATACAAACCGGACAGACCGAGCCTAGAGTGATTTGAAGAAGGTAAATAGTTTCAGGAAGTGTTTAAAAATGCGAGGTGGGGGCGCGGCCATCTTTGAAGCCTCTTTGCGGCAGAGGACGCAGGTATCCAAACAAGACGGCCCCACCAACTCCTGTCAATCCCTGCATTTCAGTTTTTTTTTCACTCCTAATGCCTCTGAAATACCGGGAAAACTTTACGCCATGAATTCATAGTCAAAAAGTGGTGGAAAAATATGAGCGATGGCTTAAAAAATTTGTTCATCCTATACATACCGAATAGCCCAAGCCGAGAGTGATCTGAAGAGGGTAAATAGTTTTAGGAAGTTTTTAAAAATGCGAGGTGGAAGGCGGCCATCTTTTAAACCGATTTGCAGCAAAGGTATTCAAGCAACATGGCCTCACTAACCCCTGTTAATCCCCGCATTGCAGTAGTTTTTGTCACCTCTGAGGCTTCTGAAATGCCGGGAAAACTTTACGCCATGAATTCACAGCCAAAAGGTGGTGGAAAAATCTGAACGATGGCTTAAAAAAATTGTTCATTCTATACAAACCGGATAGTCCAAGCCGAGAGTGATCTGAAGAGGATGAATAGTTTCAGGAAGTGTTTAAAAATGCGAGGTGGGAGCGCCGCCATGTTTGATACCCCCTAACGGCAGCCTGAGGAGGCCTGAGGTGGACAGTGCAGCAAGATGGCTGCGCCAACCCCTGTTCATCCCCGCATTTCAGTCCTCGCTCCCGAAGCTTTCCAACTTTTACAGATTAAATTGCGCGGGTGAAATCATATGAGTCACATACTTTAAAGGCACTACATCATATAAAGAAGACCTTCTGAGATAAGTTTTCAGCCTTCGTCTCGAAGGTATCATAGAGACGACCTCAGATGCGCCATAAACACTTGGCGCAATTCGCGATGCAGGTGCATCTCCTCAATTTCGACAGATTAAAATGATGAGTTTTACGAGCCATTTCCCCTGAAGGTGAATCCCCCAGGGGAACTGGGTGACGACGGAGGCAAAAAAAGTGATAACGTTTGATGTGACTGTCACTCTCGGGGTCATTGGATTTTGGTTTCTCTATGCCCCCCCCCCCTTCCTGGCTTTATCGCACCAGTCAGGGACCTTGTCAGTTGCACGCAATGTTACGCGTGTGATGTTTTTATCGCTCGCTTGACGGCCACCGCTGAAGTCACGGTGTAAATTAGAAAAATTAAGAATTTTGACGTGTTTTTGATTCTTCAGAATTTTGGTAAAATTATGAAAACACGTGTCTCATAACTGACACTTTCGGTGAAGAATGAAGGAAATAGGATGAAAAGATCAATAGCTGGACGATTTCATCTTTTATTGAATATTCTATAAATAATATAATTAAAAGACCGACTGTAATGGTTGGGTGGGTGAGGTGTTGCTCGGGCGGACATCCAAGCTAAGCAGCGTTGAGCTGGGTTAGTACTTGGATGGGTGACCGCTTAGGAACACCTCGCTCGCACAAAAATTGCGGGCGGTAGGTACGGTATAGCGGCCTAGTGTCTCCATCTAGTCAGTGTGACAGATGGATGTATTAGGGCACTGCACAATCGACCGGCTGTGCGACTGGGGTTTTACATGGTTTCCCGTGCAGTCCTAGCTCGAATGGGGCACAGCTAAGAGTAAGACGGCCAATGAGAGGAAAAGAAAGGTGGAGAGGCAGGCTAGAGAAGGGGGAGTTTCAAATCGAGAATTACTTCGATAAAACCAATGAAATAGAAAAAAATTTAAAAAATTAATTAATATAATTAAAACTGTACGGATTATCAATAATAACATTTATGTGTAATCATGTGATGAACTTTTTCGTTCAAAATATCAACATTACAGCGAGAAAAAAATATTCGGGGGATATAGTCCTGGGTGTCGTAGCGCTGGAATTTGCTAAGCATCAATGACAAAGTGTCGTAGAGAAAAAAAAATTCTCTTTCCAAAGAGGCAGATGTGGGAAATAGCATAATATTTTCAGGAGGAGAATCACATCCCGAAGATTAAGAATCTATTTGTTTGTATAAACATATAAACAACATGTTTGTATAAATTGGATGAAAATTCTATATTCCTCCAGACCGTCCATCTATTGGCCTTAGCGTCCAGTTATTGGGGATTTGGATGATATTCCACTTATCCCTCATTTAATTATTCTTCTATTCATTTTTTCCACTTTAAATTATTGTTTTTTCAAATTCATATATTCTTTCAGGTCTAGAACTCATTTTTTATTCATTTAGCAACTTCATTGATTTGAAATCCTCTAGTGATGTTCAACATTTCCTTAATCGTCCAGCTATTGGCCTGTTTATTCTAATTGAGACGTTAGGATTTTTTGGGGGCAGATTGGTAAGGAATTAATGAAAAATCACCAACAACTCAGGATTGTTCAAATAACTTTATCTGATTTTTATTCTTCATTTATCAACTCCCTAATAAATCATCCAGTTTTCATTATTTGGCAGAATTTCGAATATAATGGCAGACAAAATGGCGAATACCAGAGAAAAAAATATGACCCAAATTCTAAATAAATCAAAGGCAGAAGGAAGAAAAATTAATATCCTCTATTAATTAATTAAAATAATGAATTTTGTCTTTGCTACGAAGCAAACACTCTTCACCCCCCTCTGTTTCTACTAATTATTCTCAATTCGTCCATTGAATTCCCCACATTTTTCACTCCCCTCCCCCCAAGTCCTCGAACTCGTGGACTCGACTGAACTCATGTTCACAGTAAAAAAAAGCATCCAGACTTGTCACTATTTTCAATTTGCTGAGTTACTGAAGGACAAGACCGATTTTGTTGGGTGTCATGCTGGGACAACGCCAGTTGTAGAGGTAGTATTGAAGGTTTCCATCGCCAATACCGAATTTTAAGGCCTCCAGGAATGCCTTGTTGTCCATTAGATCGAGGGCATTAAAAACATCGAAGCCCAACTGTGAAATTGAGAAAACAATTGTGAATTTTATGTCATTTTTTCATTTTTAAATGACTAATTATCAAAATAATTGCATTTCTCGTGTGAAAAAAAATGTAAAAAATTTGATGTAATAAAAAAATGCTTCTTAATTTTGCTTTCATCTCAAGAACAAGTAAATTCACAAAAAAAATGTCACAAACGAAATGTTTGGCAGAATTTCAATCCCCAAAAAAACGTCTCCTCTACCTGATTGAATTAACAATTCCTCGATTACTCACATTCCTCGCTGAAATAAGGGCATCAGTCATCAGCTCAATCCAGGGTGTTTTTGTCGAGACATTGTAGAAACTGTAAGCAGCTTTGAGTGTCTTGTGCGTCTGGTGATGCATCACAGAGCTCGGTAGAGTGTAATAACTCACTAAATCCGTGATTTTCCCCTCATTCTCCACCACAAAACTGTTTACAATGCCATTGTGGGGTGTGAACCAGTGGCGAAACTCCTCTTCGTTGAAAATTGGTGCCAGATCAAACTTTTCTAGATACTAAATCGAAAAGAAAAAAAATTATCAGTTTCCAGAGCAAAAGAAATTTTTAAAAATTAATAAATTTATGAAGACAATTAAATTTTTTTCTCAATAAGAGTTTTTCGTGATGAAAAAACTGCTCGTTACTGAACATGATTGAATTCATGGAAAAATACAATTGAACAGAGTTTTTTCTTGATGAAAATTCCTGAAATTTAATAATATTGAGGGGAAAAAATAGAATTACCTCATTGAGTAATTTATAAGCTTGAACAGCATCTCCGGCCTCGAGTTTCCTAAATCCAGGCACTTTGGGATGTTCAGGAAGTTTATAAAACTTGAGTGTCCTCTGCATCGTCATATTACGTGACAAATGTGAAAATTTGATCTCAATGAGTTTCTTTGGGTTGAGGGAACGATGCCAATAGCGACAGGTGGTTATGGGCTTTGGTAGAATAACACCAGCAGTGTAGACAGCCTGGAATATTCCCAGAAGATTGACTCGCCTCGTTATCTCCCGAATTAACACTGGAGCAACGCGTTTTGATCGCAGTTTTTTGTGAACACAGAGGAAATTTATTTCCACCATTTTTTGGGAGCTGAAAGGAAATCAGATGACGATCCTTCTTTACGTTAATCAAGTAGAGATGATTTTTTTTTTGGGTTGAGAATTTTTTCATTCATTTTGTTGCTTCCGAATGGGAGCTTTGTAATCGTTAAAATTTAAGTTTTGGATTTTTTATATTATATCGACCCAGTATAATCCAAAAAGTCCGAAAATATGTATGTAACAAAATTTTTCTTCAATATTTTTTAGACATTCTTTTGTGAAGAGAATGAAACAAGTAAAATTAATGGGGGAAATAGATAAAAAAAATACTTACTGATCGTAGACACGCAGAGTCGCAGGGATTGCGGAGATAAATCCGACTAAACGACCACTTTTTATCACACGCACCCCACAGTGCCACTCTTTGCACCAGCCTGGAGGCTGCAGGGCCCTGAAAAAATCATTTTTCAATGTTATGTTTTGCTTATTTTTCAAATACCTCGATAACGAGTGGTCTCAGCAAAAAATGTGATAAAACATTTTCATTAGGAAATTCAATTCTTTACAAAAAATACCTCACGACATTTTTCCCTAAACCCACTCATCATAAAAACAAATTCCTAATTACAAATGAATATTTTTTTTTATTTTTTTTTCTATTTCATTGGTTTTATCGAAGTAGTTCTCGATTTGAAACCCCTCCTTTAGCCTGCCTCCCTTCCTTTACTTTTCCTCTCATTGTTATCTGCGGTATCATGGCCGTCTTACTCTTAGCTGTGCCCCATTCGAGCTAGGACTGCACGGGAAACCATGTAAAACCCCAGTCGCACAGCCGGCCGATTGTGCAGTACCCTAATGTATCCATCTGTCACACTGACTAGATGGAGACACTGGGCCGCTACACCGTACCTACCGCCCGTAATTTTTGTGCGAGCGAGGTGTTCCTAAGCGGTCACCCATCCAAGTACTAACCCAGCTCAACACTGCTTAGCTTGGATGTCCGCCGGAGCAACCCCTCACCCATATCTAGAATATCTAGATAACGAGTGGTTCTAGGAGGAAATGTGTCAGGACTTTTTTAAAAAAAGAATTAAATTCCCTGGAAAAAATTTCGTATGAAATTTTCCTCTAAATTCAATGATTCTCCAGAATTTGGGGGGGGGGGGGG